GAAAGAAGAGAGAGAAGATGTATTGGTTGATTATGATTGGTTCATAACTATTCTTTCTTTTTTTCTCTTTTTTTTCAAAATAAACCCTATTAATTTAACACACTACCACTCTCTACCAAATGTTAAGAGTTAGTTGCTAAGAGAGAAAAATGATGTGGCACTCAAAATAATGATGTGGCTTGGTCCTAAGAGTGTTATCACTCCTCTTAGCCTTAGAGCACCCACATCGATGGGATTTTAGTCTTTCAAATCCTTCTTGCAAATGCCACATATACTTTTTATTATTTCTCTTTCAACTAGCTGAAAGACCATTTGCAATGCCCACATATACTTTTTATTATTTTTATATTATTATTTTAGTATAGTTATATAGGATAATTAAAAATCTCCAAAAGCTGGTGAATTAAAGGGAGAGGTAAAGTTCATTAACAATTTTCAAAGTATATAACTTATCAACAAAGACGATTTAAAGATTACGGTGTACTTAAATATCTATAATTAAACATAATTAATTATAATTGTTATGAATTGAATTATTTTTATATATTTACATATTGGATATAAACAAATAAATTTTGTTAAAAAGTATAAAATGGTTGTTGATATGGCAGTGGGTTCCATTTTGAAAGAGTATTTATATTTCATTGATGTGAGTGGTTATCGCAAAACTGATGTCGCAAATTTGAAAGATGAGTAGGCATTGCACTGCACGGATGTGGATGGTCTTACATTTTATCCCTTAAAAATAAAGAACATAATTCCTTTGTGATTTACTTTTATTCATTTACATTCCGCTATTAAATGTACTCGAAAACAAGGGGTAAGATCTTTTCCAACCACATAACACAAAAAGAATGATTGTTTAACACCAAAATTATGATTCAACTCCAACCAACCTCTAAAATTGTGTTTTTTTTTGAGGTCTCTACATTTGACATTAATATTTGATTTTAAAAGAAAGTCTAACACAAAAATAGTGTTAAATTTGAAGGTTGGTTGGAGGATTATTGGCCTCTAAAACATAAAAATTGTGATAAATGGAGGATGTTAAAGTTGGTGTAAGTAAATGGGTGGTGCATTAAATAAACTAAATATTACAAAACACAAGAGAGTGTATCTAATAGTAATTAATCTTGATTTTGTTTTTATTTATGAAATTCGTATTCTATTTATTTTGTTTAGTAAATTACTATTGTATTTATCTTATTTTTATATAATAAATTTTGAAATAGATAGTAAAAAGTGATTATTTCCAATAAAACCTTAATATTTTAGCCAGATTTATGAAAAAGTCCCCAAAAAAATTATTTCCAAAAAACATAGAATACCCGTATCTTTTTTTTTTTTTTGTTAGTTTGGTCAAAATATTGTGACTTTTCTGAAAATTATCTTATTTTTAACTAATAACCAAAATATTAACACTTTTCTAAAAAATGACACCCAAAAAAAGATTGGAAGACAATTCAAGAGCATTGTCACAAAACGGACAAAGCAAAGAAGGCAAATCCAAACCTCTCCTATCAAGAATGACTCTAATGGGGAGTTTATCGATCCCTAACTTTCAAGCAAAAACATTAGTTTTAATTGGAACCTCCTTACTCCAATGAGGAGGATAATTTGAAGCGGGTAGCATTTTTTATAAATAAATTTTAGTTTGAAATTTTTTTATAAACTTAACTAAAAAATTAAGATTTTACTGAAGATTTACTCTCAAGTGATATGTAAAAAGTAAAACATTCAGATCAATAAAAAGTTCATTTATCATTTTGATAAAATCAGAATGAAATTTTTCACTTTTACAAAAATAAATCTAAGAGGTTATTGTTGGTAAAAAAAAGTATTAATTAAGCTGATTATATTTTAAGTTAATATAAAAAATGTTTTTTTTTTAAATTGACTATTCGATACCAATCAAAAGTATTTTATTTTATTTTTTTGCCAAAATAGTACATTTTCGGTATGGCCTTCGGAATTTTATAAAAAAATTCCAAAATTTCAAGAATTAGTTTGAAATCCATAAACAATTCCAGAATTTCAAGAATAATTGAGGACAAAACCAGCATTTTTGCAGAAAAACAAAAAACTTTTTTTATTTTTGTTAAGAAGTCATTTTAATTATTAGTTTACTCAATATCCCCAAAAAAAATCCGAGAGGTTATTACATTATATAAAATAAATTACATGAATGGTATTTGTAGTTTAGGGTAGTTGGCGTTTAGTCCATAACTTTTCTTTTAATTCAGACCGTCCTCCCCAAATTTGGTTTTGTTTCGTGTTTAGTCCCTAGCAGACATAAAATGATTGTAAATTATTTTCTTGTTTTTTAGATTTTTTTTAATTATTTGGTTGTAATTTTTAGAAAAATATACAAATTTATGGACTAATTCTGTAATTTGAGAAAATATTATCCCTAAAATCGACTCCATAGAATCATCGATTGATTCCTCTTCTGCTTCAATGACTACCAACGCACCAAATCCATCACCATCGGCAGCTTCAGCCCACCTGAAAGCTTCCCCGTCGCCTCGTCAATGCTTGCGAGCAGTGGCGGACGCAGAACGTTTTAGTAGGGGTGGCACTAAAAAAAAAATTCCGAAAAAATCTAAATTAGTAGTGGCATACGTATTTTAAGTCGGTGCACCTAATAGAAAAAACATAAAAAAACATAAATAAATAAATAAATAATAAAAAAAATTTACACTGCGTGCCGGAATCGAAGCAGTGGCCCGGGACCCACGGGGCACCACTAAGGTCCGCCACTGCTTGCGAGATATCATAGCATTACCGAAAAGCTCTCTTCATCCTCGCCAGATTTCAAGCCAAAAGCATCTCTTCATCGCCATCAGATTCAAGTCGGAAACATTGATATTTTCTTCATTAGTCTACCTCGTAGAGACCCTGTGAATTGAAGCCACCACCACCATTGGTGCCTTTTATTTCTTACCATTTGACGTGAATCGGGTCCTCCACCAACACCACTAATGCATGCCTTGATTTTTTACAACTTCGAAAATCATTGCAGAAACCTCATAAATCGAAGCCATCGCCACCATGGACACGTCACCACAAATCGTTTCTAAAACCAATGGCCGTTTTAGAAACCCCGCATTTGATTTTAGTTTTGTTTTCATACATCGTTGGTCGATTCATGTACTGGATTTTGACATGGGATTTTGTTTTTTATATTTTTTTGTTATGATTTCATCAAGTCTGGTTTTGATTTCATCATGTTTGGTTTTGATTCTCTTGGTTCATCATGATTGATATTGATTCACATGAGGGTTTGATTTTGGTTTTTCTGATTTCATGAGGTTTGGTTTTGATTTTCAACAGGTTTGTTTATGATTTTCATTGGTTGGTTTTGATTATGATCAACTTTGATTTGGTTTTGGTTTTTTATTATAGGTTTCAAGTTTGATTTTTTATTTCAGGTTCGTTTTTGGTTTTTGTTTTGTTTTGATTTGGTGTTGGCAATGGCAAACGGTGGTTCCCTTTGTCGGAAATCTCTCCTCCCACACCGATGGCAATAACTTGACAATGAAGATGATCCTCGTCCAAGTGTTCAAGGTGGATGAGAGGATCATATGAAGAAATAATGGGAAGGGGGTGATGTCCGAGGGCCCATTATTTCATAAATTTGTATACAAAAAGAATAATATTATAATATTATAAAAATAATAGATAAAAAAGAGTACATCCACTTAAGAAGTTGCACCCAGATCTAACACTCTGAACAAAATGGACTGATACAAAACTTATACTGGTCCTTCTTTACAGACACATGGTCCTCACATAAGGTGTCACACCTTTGCTAATACACAGGAATCTATAAGAAAAGCTAAAGTAGCTTTATCGACTACATAAAGCTCCTTTCACTCACGTATGCATACTTTTTGTCAGAGTATCAAACCCAAAACAAGAAAACTATTAAAATAAAAATAAAAATTATACTCAGTAATCTTCTTTTTTGTACATAATAAATATATAGAACAACACAAAATAATGTTGTATTTTCAGTCCAAGTTCCATAGTGTCAATTACATATTTTACAATAACAGTTTGTTTATAACAAACAAAAGGTTCAATAAGTCATCAATCAACCACTTTATATTACTAGACTCTACGGGTAACCCGAGTAACATGGGACCATTAAATTTACATATGTTTTGCATTATTGATTATCGAGTTTCAGTTGAACTATTTTTACCAATGGTTATTATTTAAACATTTACCATATAAAGCACTCAAAATATGAGCCTAAATGGGTAAATGTTCTCAATGCCTCATGTATGAGTATTTGTCTAGTCAGTGGGAAATGCGACCCAACAGTTTTAAGATAAAAGTATCTGTATACCTAAACGAATCAGACAAAAACATCACATCTTTTCAATTGATGTGATTTCAATGAAGAAAATAAATAACAGAATGTGTAAATAATTGGAAAAAAAACAAATAAAAGTCACAGAAAAGCTAATTTCTTCGCTGTTTCTTGATAAACGATAATCAGCTACCTTTTTTCTTTTGTTTTTATTATACGTAAATGAAGTGGAAATAGTTTATGTGTTTAATTCGATTTACTTGGGAACAGAAAATGGGTCGCAAAATTCAGCAACTTTAGGTAGTGTCACAATCTTTAACCTGCAACAAGTACATTTTATGACATCTGTAATGAATGAGAGCTTGGACTTGTAGTGTACTCGTTTCAATTCAATTATCAGAGCATTAAATTGTCAGAAAAAATTGCAAGAAACTGAATGAAATTGAGATGATGATGATGATGTGTTAATGTAGAACAGAAATGAACTTAAATTAAACGAATTACAAAATCTACAGAGAACGAAAGGAAATCTAGAGGCGTGTTTGTTTTTTTGTTTTAAAACGAAACGCCCTTAATTTAGATTTTGTAGCAAAAGACTAACCTCTCTTTGCATCGATTCATCAAGTTCTTGGACTCGATTGGCTATTTTTCTCCAGCTTGAATCCATCAAGAATGAAAGATCTCAATCTGGAACCCAATTTATTTACATGTTTTTAACCTCGAATTTGAATGCTTTAAACAGAAGATCCAATTTAAATGAACTTTGACTCCATTATCGATTCCCATGGTACTCAAATTCCATTGTTTTGGAACAAGATCCATCTAAAATAAGCTATGATACTGAAGACTGATTCTAAACCTGGAATTTACCATCTGGACATACCATTCTGTTCGTCTAAAATCCAAGTTCTACTTCTTCTCCTGGTCATTCTACCGAAAACGGAACTAGACAAACTCCGGCTTCTAGCCAATGATGCACCACCGGAGTTGGTGGTTGAATTTGAAGATGGCCGTAGCCTCCCAAAAAACGAGAACATGTTGCGGAAAGCTCTTCCTATCCCACTTTCTCCACCAGCACTGTTCCTACTTGATTCCCACATAATCCTCCTTGGAGTACCAGAATTATTGTTAAATCCACCGTCCATTTCCGTGTATACAACAGGAAGCTCCCTCTCACCGCCGCCGACGCCGGCTCTTCTACCGCCAGAAAACCTCCCAACTGCAAATCCGCCACCAGGTAATCTCCATATCGTTAATCCAACTGCTGATGATTCTTCCTCGGTTGGTTCAGAGCGTTCTAGATTGCTGGAATTTGAATCTGTTGAATCCGTTGGGAGTTCGTGCCGGCAAACCGGGCACGAGTTTCGGAGAGTAAGCCATGGGAGGATACAATCGGAGTGATAGATGTGTTTACATGGCATCTCACGAGCTTCAGCGCTGATCACGAACGCTTCTTTGCAAACAGCACAGTGTGATTCCGTGCTAACGTGTACCTCTGAGATCTCGATCGTCGGCATCGATTCAATAGCTGCTTTTGAAGCCGGACGATGCCCTGTCCGACCTAACCCGTTCATCTCGATCTGAGACAACTGATCGAGCAATCGGGCAAACCCTGACCCCATTAGAAACTCCGACATCGTCGGCGGCAACGGTTGTAGACCCGAACCTGCTCCGTCGTCGTAGTACAACTCAAAACCTCTCTCTCCAACCCCCGAATCCTCCACAGCCCCGTTACCCTCCGCAGGACCACGAAGAACGATGACCGGATTGAAAGGAGACCTGTCCCCGTTGTTACGCCGAGCACCACGCCGGGAGCGTAGATCTGATCGATCGTTGTTTCCAAGCATGTACATCGCCGTGGCAGGAAACCGCCGGCGTGTACCCAGCGGTGGAGGCTCGCTGGCTTCCACGGCTTCCACGAATCCTCCCTCACAGTGTGGACATAAAACGGTGTCTTCCGCCGATACTCTGACGAAGCGCGTGCATCGGTAACACCAATAAGACGCCGCCGTCGTCCTCGACATATTCTTCACGAAGACAAGGCAAAAAAAAAATAGATGATAACCTAAAACCAGCTAGTTGACTAGTAGGTAACGATTCAATTTGTCAGATCCGGTGAATCAAGAAGAAAACAAATCAGAAATGTTAAGAGGATGAGATTCTGGGAGGGGATAAAATATGAATTGGTTCAAAAAGGCTCTGCTTTTGGAATACAGACAGGCGTGATGATGCGGTTTATTGGTCCAAGTTCCGGGCGCAACTCCTAATGTTAATTTCATACCGCGTATGTATTTATATTTGTGCGATAACATTTTATTTAAATCAATGTCAATTTTTAGAAAAAATAAAATAACATTTAGGTTTATGATATCGTAACCCCATAAACTTTTGGTTCCGTCTTTATTTAATCATCGGCTTTTTGATGTATTATAAGTTTTTAAATTCTCATTTTATCTGTTAAGATAGAATTAGATATTTATTTAGTCACGGTAAACTTAGGGTCGGCCCCGACATTCTATAGGTCCTGTTCAATTGACTAAATTAGGCCCTAAGCTATTAAATTCTAAAATATAGAAAATTTTCATGTACCTCTACGTTTTTTACTTTCTTCCATAGTGTTTCATAAAAAGTAAAAGATCTAAAAATTTGCAAGACCAACATAATATGTGACAACTCTAGAAAATATTTTAACTATTAGAGATATGAATGAAAAAATTGATCAATGTTTCATGTGCGCGTTCAATCAAATGTGAAATCAAGAACCAAAAATATCCAACAACATCATGGACTTATTGGAAGAGAGGGAAAAATAGAGTGCCAACTTATCACATTACAAGTTTACAACTAATATTCATGACCTTTTGCCCAATAACTATAAAGCATATTATAACTTAATATCCTAATTTTGAAAAAATGAACACTAATATTCATGAGCTTTTACCAAAGCGTTTTTAGCCCAGCGGTATCCGATGTTGTTCTCTTTCTTTGAGGTCAAGGGTTCAAGTCTAGTAGTTCACATAGATGGAACAATTTATGAGTAGTTTATTATATATATATATATATATATATATATATATATATATATATATATATTCATGAGCTTTTGGCCAATAAGTATAAACCAACACTTTGCAGAATCATCAATCTTACTAAAACTACCCTAATAATTATATATGCAAAAATCAAACCAAGTTATACAATAAAAACCTTTCATTGATTGATTGTCCAAAGTATAAGATTATTCAACAAAAACCAAATCAAAAGTTAAAAGCAATGATAGAAAATTATACAATATAATTTGTAGTTTATTGAGTGAGTAATATATATATATATAATATATATATATATATATATATATATAATATATATATATATATATATAAAGACACATTTGGGTTTAAATAATGCATCATTGCCATTCAAGTGTCATTCACAACCTCTTAGGCTAAGGGGTGTGGTGCTTTTTTTACCAATGGTAAAAGGCTGACACCTAAGCGCCACATAGGATTTTACATTTTTTAGATTTTTTACCTACGAGGTAGGGTGTGGTGCCTACGAACATTTTTTTTAATTCAAAAATATAAATAATTACATAAAACTTAAAATTAAATATTAATTGAACTAACATAACATTTCATAAATTGAAAACATTACATTTGATTTAACAATCATAAAACGAAAATTACATTAACTAACATAATAAAATATTTCAGTCCGAATATTCACCGATATCATTGTCAATTGGCTGATTTAAATCAATTTCATTAACCCGATATATGTGTTCCGCCAAATCGTTGCGAAACTCGTGGTGTTTTGATTATCACGTATCGCCCTTCTTCTTGCATGTCATGGGATGGAACCAGACGGTATTGGCGCACTAGATGATGCACCTGAGGATGCATTGTCATTTGGTTGAAACTGACAAATTATTTTATGCTCGTCTTCCAAAATCATATTATGTAAAATGATACACACATACATAATACAAGCGAGCTTGTCCACACTTCGAGGACGAGCCGGATGTTGTAGTATGCGCCAACGCTTCTTGAGGACTCCAAATGCTCGTTCCACATCCTTCCTAGCCTTTTCTTGGTACGTTTTATACTTTATGCGATTGGGATCACCTGGACATGTTAGCGTTTTCACAAACACAACAAATTCAGAGTAAATACCATCAGCAATATAATACCCATAATCGTACGTCGTTCCATTCACTTGAAATGGACAGTTAGGTGCGGACCCATCACAAAACCCATTGAATATGGGCGACATGTCTAAAACATTAATATCGTTGTTTGAACCGGGAGCACCAAAAAAAGCATGCTAAATCCAAAGATCATGTGACGCAACAACTTCAAGTATGACTGTCGGGTGACCCTTATCACCCCGTGTAAATTGCCCTTGCCATGCATTAGGATAACTACCCCAAGCCCAATGAAGACAAACCAAACTTCCAAGCATACCAGGAAAGCCATGAACACTAGCATGATGAGCATATAATGATAGAACGTCGGTAAAAGTGGGTTTACGCAAATACCTTGGACCGTAAATAGTGACAACGCATCTGCAAAACTCATCTAAATTGTCCCTAGCTACACGCTCAGACATTTGAAAATATTTGTCCTATAAACCAGAAACAAAACCGTAAGCTAATTGACGAACCGCAACTGCGCATTTTTGTATTTTTGAAAACTCATCCGCACCTCTTACATCTTGGCGTTGTCTAATATATTCGGAAATGTTAGTAACGTTACCAACTATACGAAGAAATAAATGTTTTTCCATTTGGAATCGATGTCGAAATCGGTGTTCCCCATAAACAGAATTTTCATCAAAATAGTGTGCCATTAGACGGGTGTGTGCATCCCAACGATCTCTGAGAAGCATCTTCCGCGTCCTAGGTTGGATTTCCTCTTCTTCTTTCTTCTTCTTCTTGTACCGTATCCATAATCACTTCCCATTATTTCATAACAGTCTGACCAACGGTCAGCAACAACTTACAATTTTCTAATGGATTTGCTATTTTTATGAGATGATTTTTTAGAAATAATACAGTGGGTTTGAGTGAATATGTTTTGGTTTATGGTTATATATATTATATATATATATATATATATATATATATATATATATATATATATATATAGTGGTAAAGAAGGAAAATTGAAAAAAAAAAGAATAAATGCAGCAACGGTCAAAAAAAACGGGCAAAAAAAAATACAACGTTCATTTTTTTTTAATTTTTCTCCATCGGTAATATCTCACCACCGGCACTTCATCGGCGGTGTAAAACAAGACGCGGGGCGGTGTTCAGCGCCGGTAAAGAGATACACGTCATACTACGGGCGGTGATATCCGCACGACACCCCTTAGCCTTATACTCTATCCAATGTACTTTCTTCTATGATCTAAGAAGTTTTTGTACATACCTTAGGAAGAGTAAATTTTTCGTGGTTTACACTTTGGTCAAAATATTTTATGGGATTGACAAGTTTAGTTCATGGCTTTAATTTTTTGTTGGTCGATTTTGCCCTTTTAGACACGTGGTATGCTCTTATGCTAAGGTCTCTGTGACTCCTCTTCTCCACCGCCTTATCAAGGCGACCAAGTATACTTACCAAAGAAACTGATTCCTTCAGTTTGATCGTTCCTTCTCACGGTATTGGTATTTCTATTTCGGTGTGTCGATTAAACTATGTATATCGAAAGAGAGATAAGAGGGATGGAGCTAGGGTTTAACTTTCGATTTGAGAGACTAAGATTTCACCCCTCTCGCGTATTCTCTCATACGCTCCTTCAAATGGATGAGTCATCAATGAGGTTGTAACTTTTGATTTTAGATTCTCATTTGTGGATATATGTGGTTCATTTGGTTCCTGATGTGAGTACGAATTTATGTGTGAAGGTTGCTCGCTGGTCTTCGGCTTCACTTTTTCTCCACCGACGACGTCTTAGATGAAAATTCTTCTCCATTTTCGATCGTCGGCATCTGCTTTTGCTTGCTTATGCTTTCAATTGTCACAACAGACTTTATGTATGTCTTTACCCTAGCACCAACCCCACCACTAACTTTTCTCATTCCTGTTTTCTCCCCGACCACCATCGAAGAACTACACCAGCAGGTTGTCTTTGCTCTCGCACCACATTAGCAAATGCCAAAAAAATCGTGTGTGTTTTTCACCAGTGTTTTTCTTCACTGCATATGAAATTGGTTGTCGATGGATGGGAAAATTTGGGGAAATTGACTGTCTATGCTCATTTGCGTTGATTAAATGGGTTTTTAACCACATATTTCTTTTGTATGATTTTATAGGTTGATGGTCACAGCAAAATAATTTTTTTTAATCAAATGCATATCTAATTTTGATTATCTCATGCTACAGGTGCAATACCAAATTATAACACACGGATTACAAATGCCGCTATTATCCTATCCCACCTCCACCTTCGTCTACCAATGCTAATATCACTGTACTCCAAACCTAGCGCCTGAGGTAGTATTGAAGAAAATGATTATTTACAGTGTCGGCCTCCACCACCGTTTCCACCGTCATATTCACCTGGTCCATCTTGTTGCTACTTTCTATGGTCGGTATGTCTGTTATCAATATACCCACTACACATTCAATAAAAAGAAATGATGTACTCTTTATAGACAAATAATGAAAACGGTGAAAGAAATCCCAACATGTATATGAGATTATCAAACTACAAACCAGTGTCTCAGGTTTTTCATTTCTTGCGATTGCATCTTTTCAGTTCTTTTAAGTTCAGCATTTTCATTTCTTGCTACTGAAAGTTTCTTTTACCTTTGAAGGCTACAAAAAAAGTTTAAAAAAAATAGAGGATTTTCTGGCATGTAGCACTGTGTTCGTTTTTGACAATTTTAAAAACAAATCTCTCCTTTTGGTTCTTTGAATAAAATGCATTTTATTTTGGTTTACCTAATTTTTTAAAAACAAATTGTGAATGCTATGCATTTTACTACCTTTTTGTAACATCCCAAAATTCAAGACCAAAATTT